ATCACATAATACCGTTGCTCAAAATCTCTTTGATATGTAAGGACCTGGGACCGCGTTTTTCTGCTCAGTAAGCAGGCCACTGTAACCGACGATCTTTCAAATCCGAAAACTAAAAACTACGAAAAAGTACTTAGGCCTTCATTAAGTTCCACTTTCACGCGACGTTCAATGATAGGGTCCTATCCAGGATTACATCTGAAAAATCCAAATCTGGCCAACGCCCACCCTAAACCTAAACCTGTTCTAATCCACCTGAAATGACTAACGAATGGAAGACTTTGACTACCCAGCCATGCAATAGTCTCATTCCGTACCTTATGGTAACTTGATGATTCTATTGCGCTCATCTTTTGGCACCACCCAGGGGAGACTTGGTCCTGTACCCAATGCTTAACTTATCTCCATTCCACTCAGCTACTCGCAATTTCTTGTGATATAGTGGGCGGAATATTATTATATGAGACAATTCAATGCAGACGTCTTTCCAAATTTGGCAGATCGACAGGTAATCGGTGAGTTACCACGATAGTTGCTATTCAACAACTCGACAACGTCCCATCGTCAACGCCTGCTATGAGAATTTCCCATTGCAGACGCCAACGAAATGACGTCATCGAGCTATCGATCAACTACCCTGGTTATCGCCTGGTACCTTATAGCACGATGCTAGGAGGCGAACCGGAAGAATCGATGAGCTACCTCTCCCCCTATTCCTGCCGCAACTCACTCGACTGACTAAACTTGCAGGACAATAGTGTTTTAAAACCTCCTGTGGGTTTGAGGAGTGACAAGCCTGCTTTTGGGAGTGGCGTCCCTGGGGAACAAACACCACAAGGAAACATATAATATAATGATTTTCGAAGACGAATGCAAGAACAATAAATGTGTGAAAACCGATTTGAAATATGTCGCTTACTTTCCGAGAAAAAAAATACCACAATTTCGCTTTTTTGGTCCCGAAGGTAGGTTTGACCCCTTAATCTTCCTAATGCATTAGGGTCTTCTTTGACCCGGGGTCATTTTAAAAAGCTGTAACTTTGTATCAAAATATGATCGATGCCTGCAAATTCCTCAGCCTCACTTTTCCTAACTTTCGGAAACGAACATTTTGCTGTTTAAAGAAGCTTTCAGCGATATCTAGGAGTGGCGCTACTAAAAAGTGACACAGTGTGCATTGGGGTCTAAAAAGACCCAGACTGTAACTCGCTCCCAAAAATCAATTTTTGAACCGATTATTGATCTATTGGCCTCATAAGAAAGATAAAGGTTCCTAATTTTGTTTTCCCATTTGTGACACAGACCTAACTGGTCCATATTTGGTTCCTAAAATAAGGATTTTACCAATTAGGCTATTTAGGATACCTGTCACCGGTTCCGAAAGGCACAAATGGACACTTGTAAAACCTCATGTACTTCCAGAAATAAACCTAATTTTTCATCCAGAAGTAAATAGAAATCATGCCTTGGACCAAAATGTGGATCTGGCTACATTTGGATACCTGAAACCGATTCTGGTAGGGTCTCAAGGACACTTCCAAAACCGCATGTATTGGAAGCGTCCAACGGCTCAAAATTTATAATTTTTCATCCAGAAGGAACTAGACATCATGCCATGGACCTACAGGTGAATCTGGCTAAAAAGTGTATTTTTTGAAGTCCTGCCGGAACCGGTTTCGGGTATCCAGATGTGACCAGATCTACTTGTTGGTTCATGACATAATGTCTATTTACTCAGGATGAAAAATCATAAATTTTGAGCCGTCGGACAGCACATTAGGTTTAAGATCTGTCCTTTTTGGCCCTACCAGAACCGGTTCCGGGTATCTGGATGTGGCCAGATTCACCTTGCGGTCCATGGCGTGATGTATATTTACTTCAGCACATGAGGTTTTGGAAGTGTCCTTTTGTGCCCTATCGAAACCCGTTACAATTAGCCCAAATAGCCCAATTGAAGAAATCCTGGACAGCGTCCATTCTAGGCACCTTCATCTTTTATTTGTAGCCAATAGATCATGAATCGGTTCCAAAATTGACAAACATTGTGTAACTTTTTCCTACTGCATTAGGAAGGGTAACGGCCTCCTAGCCACTATCAGGCTTTGCCACTGCGTCGTAAGGCTTTTAAATAATTTTGTAAAGTTAATGTTAGCAAACTTTCCGAAAGTTAAATAGTTTCCCTCAATACAGTCGCTTAGTTGATGTTTCTATTAAAATTTTTCCTAAAACACGTTCGATACAACAAAAGATTTTCGAGTTTTTATGTATATGTAATAAGACATTCACCATTGAAAGATTAGTCACGAGTCGCAATGACCTTCTGGCTTGGCCTATATATGAACTCTCATATAATAACATACGAGGTGGTTAGAAGGAAAGGAGTGATTCTCTTCATTGACTTTCTCTTTCGTTAATAATTCGGCTGCAAACACATTACTTGATTCGTGTGCCATTCTGGATGCTAGATGAGAATCTCCTTTATCAAACTAGGGTAAATGTTGGCTTCGGAACCCATTGACTGTTTTCGGCAACCAAAATTTAAGCGTTAATTTCACTATGTTTTCCCATCAACGCACTTCCCTGAATGTGTCCAAACGATTGTTTAGCCTTTCAGCTTCAATCTGATTATATTTGAACGATCGAGCAATCCAGTAATGCTACATTTTTCTTCAAATAAAGCATACGCACTACAAAATGGGGTTGATTTCGAGTTGCCGATAATAGAACAGCTGGTTAGCACGCAGTTCTAATGGGAAGGTTGCCGAAGAAAAAGAGGCTGCCGACAATAGTCACACTCACCTGAGAAGTTTGGAGCGTTGTAAAAACGCTTTCAAAACGTTTTGAAAAATTCTGTCGATTGGAATGGATAGAGAAGCAAGCAGCAGATGAATGTAAACAAACAGACACATCATATATGTGCGTGACGCTGAGAAAATGCTAGTAGAAGTGCAGACGCTGCTTAGATAGACGAGAATACGTAAATTCCCCTATGTGGCATAATAGCGCAAAATCTGTTTATAAAGCTGTGGCTATCAAAAGAGAAAGTCGATAAAGAGAAAGTCACTTAGACCCCTTTCCTTCTAACCCCCTCATATGTGAAAAGTTTCATCTAAATTTGTGAGGGTTGAGCTGTGTACTTCGCTCATTGGAATGGATATATAATTGCTCTATGGAAGGAATTCACTTGCAAATGCCTTGCCTAAAAATATCCTCATTATGGTAGTTACTGCAGCTTTAGTCCAGTAGTTGTAGGTTGAGTGACCCTTTTTCGAATGCCTGGTAATTAACACCAATTATGAGAACACTTTCAAATGCAGTAAGTATCGTATTATCAAATCGGACTGCAACATACTGTCAGCCTCGAAAACAATAATTTATGAATTCAATGTACATTTCAAGACCAACAATTGAAAAGGCCTCAACTCAATTTTGTAAACAAACCTTGTAAGGCAATTTCCTCGCGAACCAAAACATACTTTCACAAACCTACTACACAATCGGGTAGAGGAGAATTTCCCCTACTTGTTCATTTTGTTGGTTTGCGTTGGCGGCCTTTGGTTCGCGAGAAAATGGCCTTACAATGTTTGTTTACAAAATGAAGTTGAGGCTACTTCAATTGTTGGTCTTGATTTTATGGTTGTGTAAGTTCTAAGTTCTTATATTCATGGATATTTACATTTTGAATTAGTTTACAATTTCATATAAACAATCTGAAGGTGTATTATTCGGTGCACAGGTCAATCATATTTACAATAAATGTCAAATGTCACATAATCATTACATCAGTATGTCTCTTTCCTTCATTAATTTTGTTGTAAATAATCAAATGTCATGATTATCTGTGATTTGCCAAATCATGTTACTATTATTGACCCGTGAACCGAAAAATAATGCCATCAGCCGAAAACAAAACAAACCACACTGAAGGGAGAGAAAAAAAATAACAGTGCAAACAGAAAATGAACCGTTCGCGACGGAGCCTACTGAGCCTACTTTTGATTTTCTTATGCACGGTAAGAAAAAATCACCCAAAATTAAATTCTTCTCCCTCAACTCGTTACTATACTATTGCATCCAAAAATGTAGTTAAAGGGGTCAAAGTATACACAATTAGAGTTGATCAAACTGAATTAGTTTGGATTCAAAGAACCTTGAGTCTGGAAAGTCGCCTTGCTATTTAATCAGGTGACGAGAAACGTCACAAGCGGTGACTATTTTCACTTCACTAGTGACAGAGAGTCACCCAATCTCACAGAAAATCCCTGTGCCTGCGCAAAATAGGCCAGTGGATAAACTCAGTCGACCAGTACAAGTTTTAATATGATTCTCATCCAAAATTAGGATTATAATAAAATATATTCAAATTCAACTGCACTGAACGGCACAACTAAATTAAGAACCCGAATGCGTCCGAAAATCAACCGGAAAGCAAGTGCAAAAATGCAAACCTTCTGTATGATTATTTTTTTGTTAAATAAAACTTGTTAGCGAACGAGTAGTTCTGTGTATCCGCCGTTCGACTGCTACTTCACTCGTCGGGAGTATAATCGAAGTCGTGCATCGTCGTGGAGGAAGCTCAAAAGAAACACGGGGAATCCTTTCAAGGAAAACCACTTTTCTCATCATTCTTTCAATTTGGGCCGCAACGATCTGAGGTTGAGGCCGGGGAATTTCTGCGGCTTTTTAATATGCAGCGAAAGTACTAGCTAGCCTTCTACTAGCTAATGGATGGATGGCGACGACGGTCGGCGTGGCGTTGCTCAACTCTTTCTTTCAAAGGGATGTGTTAAAAAATGCTCTCAACTCAACCACATGCCAAATGCATGACTTTTCTGTTTCTACCTTTTTCGGTAGCAACATTTGAATAAAAGTAGTTTTTTTGGTTTAGTCTTGCCCACACTTTTTTTTTCGTTTTACCCAACGCAGTTCTCATGACACATTCATCCAGTGAGGTAGAAATTTGTGAAAAAGCTAAACCATTGTTTTCCTCTCTTTCTTTTCAGAACACTCAACTGACTAGTTCAAAATCATAAAAGGTAGGTTACCAAAATATCCATAATCATTTATTTAATCGTACATCCTCCAGAAGGGTACTCAAGCAATGAGGCAAAAACACCCACTTTCTTCCGTTCAGAATGTTTCTTAAATCGAAAAAAAGACCATCGACTCACAACACGCAATGCCCTAGAAGTTCTCATCACCAAACCAATCGATGTTGCTGCTCGATTTTGGCGGTGTTGTATCACCATACTGAAATATGTAATAATGTAACAATCGTATTCCTCGAACCAAAACAAACAAACGAACGCGTTTCGACCAGGGGGCGGGACACCTTGGCTGAATATATCATTTTTTTATTTTATTTAATTTAAGTTTCTTGATTAAGACCTTTCAACAAAAGTATCCATGTAACAGACAATGTTCAGCCCAAAAAGCTCTATCTTTTACATGTATTAGTTTTTTAAGAAAACTTAAATATATTCTTCGATATCTAGTTGATGATATTTTCAAATATATCAAAGTTGTCAAGCCCCTTGGTTCCGACCAAAACCAACCAAAAATAAACAGCCATCGAATCCACGACCATTTTAATCGGATCGATATTTGGCCCTGAATGAATGTCGTCGTCGTCGTTGGTCTTCGGCGAGCATTTTCGGTTTTTCCGAACATTATTGATGGACATCCAACAGCAGTGGAGCAACAGAGCAGGCCGTGGCATAAAAAAAAAGAAGATCAGTTTATCTCGTTCGTCCGGCCCGTCGTCGTGGTCAAGGTGAACTTGGATGATGAATGAAATTTAAATTTAATGACTCGTTCCTTGGAGTTTTGCGTTAAAAGTTTGACTTTTGATGGGACTCCAGGCGTTTGGTGTTTCCTCTGTTTGATTGGGAATGCTTGTCGCGTATGGGCACAAGTGTACTGTGTTGGAGAGCGTATTTTCAATCAAATTATTTATTGCGACTAATTCGCAACTAGTCCGGACGCATGAACATAAAACTGGAAGCTTCAATCAGGAGAAGGGGAGCGTAGTACCCATAAAAATAGAGTTAATGCCTACTTCGTAGGCTGGTGGCAATTTAGAAGTCGTGAAGCGTGCAGGTTTTATTCGGTGGACGCTAAATGAATTCGTATGAGCCGAGAAGAAGGTTTTTAATTAGCACCTGACGGTGGGTACCTCCGATGTGCAACGGCAGGAACTATTTATTTTTATTCACGTTAGCTCTATAAATATAGGAAATCATTAGTATACGTTTTCTTAAGCAGGATTTGACACGGTATTTTTTGAAGATGGTTCGGTAATGCTGAAAGTTGAAGTTGAGGTGAAAAATTCAAGTCATCTACTAAAAATATACTTCATTAGCCAAAATGCTTTCAATGATAAAAAAAAACTCATAAATTTTCTTTAGAATTTGTTATTTTCAATGTTGTTGGAAAATTCAGAGCGCAAATTTTTCGGCGGCGTGGTTATCTTTTTTTAAGCATGATATAACCCTAATGTGTGTGAGGATTGTTTTAAAACTTTTTTTCTAAACCTTGTTATTCAAATAGGAGGAGGGTACCCAGGTACCCCGTCAAGCACATAACGGTAAAGGTGAATTGCTGTGGAAACCTCATTTATTATGGATCGCACTATTACTTTTAAACTTCCATGACCACAAATGTCAGCTCCCACAAAACATACAATAATGAAACTAACTGCCACTTCACGTTTGATACAGTAATCAAGTAGAAATTTTATGTGCGATGCCGTAGCAGTGTCCGAGATTTGTTTTCTAAGTTAAATAGTACTGCAAGTCAGCAATCATGAGCCATGATTCACGACGGCCGTTTGAGGACCCTGCGAAGATCCAAATTTATATTTTTTTGGCAATATTGGCGTTGAAAATTCGCCGCGTTTTTTGGCGATTAAAATTGTCCGCGGTTTCAAGCTGTGTAAAGTGTTCTTGTTGTTTTGCGGGATTTAAGCCATTTTTAGGAGTTTAAGTAGATTTTGCTTTTTCAAAACCTTTTTATAATTTTAAAACCATTGTATGATTTTTTGCTATTTTTATGCGCGCTTTTTTTACGCGTTTTAAAACCATTTACAGCATTTTAAGGTTATTTTTTTATATTTACTATGCTTTTTTTTGTGGTTGTAAAGCCTTTTTTAGCGTGTATTATCTTTTATCGTTTTTATGACGTACTCGGCGTTGGTTGGATTTTTAAACTCTTTAAAGACATTTTTAGCGTTTCAAAACTTTATTTGGCGTTGTAATCATTCATTAGTATGTGTAACCTTCTTCAACGCTTTGCAGCCGTTTGAAGTTATTGTTGAAATTTTATGTTTTATGTGTGATTCGGCCTTTTGGGGGCGATAAACTTGTACCGTCTTTCCTTCAGTGCTAAAAGCTGTGCGATCGGTTGTCAAAGCTATTATGTTGTCTCCAAAGATACCACATCGTAAATACGAAAGTGTTCGTTAGGGTGCCAATGAATTTATCTAAAAAAATTACCATCAAAATTTGAAAACGGACTACAGTCAACTCTCCATATCTCAGCGGCACCGATGGTGTAGTGTTACGCATGATTACCTCTCACCCCAAAAGACCTGGGTTCAATCCTAGTCGGCGCCGCCGGGATTTTTTGAGGCATAAAATCTCTGATCACGAAGATAAGTGAAAAACCGTTGGTTTCCGGTTCATGAGTTGATGGGTCTATAGGTAGGGTCCAGGTGTGGGAACTGCCTCCATGGCGTCAGTAGCATTGGTACTCAGTACGGAAAACACATCAAAGAAAAAACTCCATATCTCGATGTTCGATATCTCTCACTAGACCAAGAGGTAATTATAAGGTTTCTTCTGTTCACCAACTTTTTTCTAATCACATTTGTTGCTGTAACACTAATTGCTCACCGATGGTGATTAATTGAAGTTCTGAATTCCTAACATACACATTCAAAACAATATTACCTAGAGTCAAAAATAACCATTTACCCGTCACGACTCCACGTTCGCGAAACGGCACTGATATCTACAAACCTTGTTCCCATGGCAGGCTTTGGAAAATATGCGTTTAAATTTTCCATCAATTAAAGCACCGACTGAAGTTAATTTTCTGGAGTGATTGTTTCAAACATCCCCATTTGTGCTGGATATTATCGTCATCGAGAGGAATTCCGATCATCCATCAGCGATTCCTACGCCACCGCCGCAGGCCGTATCGAATCGGTTTCACGTTTAATGAATCGTGGCGCCGCCCGTGTGCCTTGAGTAGTTGTGGATTTTTTTTTTCTTCTCCGCAGCCTACTGTGATGATGCCAAAGCTTCTGTGTGTTGTTGATGTTGAAATAATAATCGTACTTTTTTATTGATCATCATCACCGCACATAGTACAGCCCTGATGGAATGTGAAGCTATGCGCGATACGAATCTCCAAGGCGTTCTTCAGCTCCTCCTTCCTGCTGAGGAAGGATATTGGTAGATAATAACATGTGCTGAGATATTGAGCCAAATAAAATCCAAGAATGCAGCCTATGAAGTCATGGCAGACTGTGCTTCCAGACAAAACAGTGAGTGCAGAGGATGCTGGTCCTGTCTACCCCATTGATTGCAGCAAACGAAGTGTAAGTGATATCTCCTCCGCGTCAGAATTATGCCAAGAGATGCTGACTCGGGGTATGTCTAGCAGTTTTCTTATTTATGCCATCCTCTCATTTTGTTATTCAATTTAATTTAATTCAATCTGATATCCCCTCGGTTTCGTTCGTTCATTCGCCGTTCGGCGGCTGAGCAGCGTTTCGCATAATATGCACTTATGCTCGACGCGCTTTGTTGTATTATATGTCGACTACGTCGGAACGACTTGGATTAGGATAAGAGGTGCTGTGTGAGCTGTCGCATCTGTCTTGCCGTCATCGTCGTCGTCTCGTCGTTACCGCCGTTGTTGGTTTGCGAGACTTTGGCAGCTGTTCAGCTGTTGATCTTCGTTCCCTTCCGAGAAGGGAGCGGAAAACTCTAGAACAGAACAGTTCGACCCAGGAGCGGATCCTTTCTACGGGGTTGTTGCATGAAGTAAGGAGCGAAAATCTTGGTACTTACCGCTGGAAATTTATCGCTACTACATGTTTGAGGAAGCGGGTTATGAGCTAAGGAATTGAATTAACCTATACGGACGGGAACGCGGGTACAAGTGTACAAGTGCGCTCGACAGTGAAGGCATATTAAAAGTACAATTATTGCTTTCGGTAGCCGTTCGGGAGCGCATTTCTCGGTGTGGTCCCGGGGTGGATATTTGCAGCAGCTGTGGGTCTCTGTAGCATTGGTCGAAGTGATTTGAAGTTGAGTTTGAAGGGAGCAGCAAGTGTGAGATTTATGGTTTACTGATTGTGGTCGGTGATTATCGTGGGGAGTTATACGAGCATCATTTTATTGAGGGTAATGCTGGCAGTTGTTGATTTTTAAGTGGTTAGGGGATTGCAAAGGGAACAAAGACGGCTTATCCGGTTGGCTTGGGGGCTTGATTTAAAATATAAATTTTGGAATTCCCGACCAGAAACGTAACGACCCAAGCAACACACATCCATCAAAATAGGTTGCTGCAACTTGATTGTGACTGAAATAAGGTGCATACAAGTAACCACAACAGTTAAATGACAAGTGTGCTGCTAGGGGAGCTTCAGGTGAATGTCCGGAGTAGAAACATCGTAATCCTTAAAAATTCACTTAACTCGAGTTGCGGGACATTCAAAATTGAAATAATTCTCAATTTTAAAATATCAGGCATCTCATGAAAGAAATATGTGTTAGACATCACACTTATCAATTAGTGTCAACACATTTCAAATCCGAGAGACTTTGTCGTTCACAACAAGTTTGCTGAAGACAGCAAGCCTCATAGATTTCAAATGAATATAAGGATTTCAAGCTATCTTATCAAACTGATAATTTCCACTACCTTATTTGCTTATCCTTGACAGATACGCGTATTTCGTCTACAATGTGCAGACTTCTTTAGTATTAGTCGAGCATTAGTACAGGACACTGAAGAAGTCTGCACA